AGACAAGCTGTATGTTCACATTATACAAAAATCAAAATGGTGGTTAGCCAAACACCATTATCCCAAGTCTGTTCACCAGTGACTTAGTTTCCATCCTCACAGGCAACCCTGTGTTACCATTTTTTATATTCTTTTGGGTAGATAAACAAGTGAACTTCTAAATCCCCTTTCTCTCATCTTTTTATGCATTTCATTGCTTACAAGGTGTATTGTTCTGTATCTTATTTTTTTCACTTTACCAATATGTTTTGGCTCCCTCCATATCAGTGGGTAAAGAGCATCTGTTTTTCTGTGACTCAGTGGTAAACAGCTTGCCTGCCAATGAAGGAGACACAGGTTCAATCCATGGGTCAGAAAGTTCCCCTGGAGGAGGAAATGGCAACCCACTCCAGTATTCTTGCCTCGGAAATCCCATGGACAGAGGAGCTGGCAAGCTGCAGTCCATGGGGTCGAAGAAGAGTTGGCCATGACTTAGCAACTAAACAACAGCAACACAGACTTTTTCTGTGGCCACTAATTAGTTTGTGTTTCCAGTTTATGCTTCCACTGCAGAGAAGGAATGTGCCTGTTTGTCTGCCAGGAAGGAACAAGCTTTTTCTGTAGATGAGGGGAAAGAAAAGATTATTTAGACTTGCTGTCCACATATGTTCTCTGTTGCATGTTCTTCTTAGTTTTCTTTTGTTTACAGCCCTTTAAAAACATAAAGCCATTCTTAACCACAGACCATACAAAAAGTCGACCAAGGAGGCAGTAGTTTACTGGTCCTTGCAAACATATTGATAGCAATCTGATGGGTAAAACAATTGAGTCCCCATCTAATCTTATTTGTATTTCTTTTATAAGCAAGGTTGAACCTACTAGAGCCATTTGTATCTTATTGTTGATTTTATTTGTAGTAACTTTTTATATCGAGAAATTACCTCTTATCTTTGAAATGGATCACAAAATATTTGCCTCAGTTTATCTTTTCATTCTGCTTATAGAAGTTTTTGCCACAAAGAAATTGTTCTAAGTAGTAAAATTTATCAAAGTTATGCTCAGTTGTGTCCGACTCTTTGTGACCCCATGAACTGTAGCCTACCAGGCTCCTCCATCTGTGGGATGCTCCAGGCAAGAATACTGGAGTGGGTTGCCACTTCCTCCTCCAGGAGATCTTCCCAACCCAGGGATCAAACCCGGGTCTCCCGCATTGCAGGCAGACGCTTTACCACCTGAGTCACCAGGGAAGCTCCAAGTTATGTTATGACTTGGGTTTCAGATAGTACCTTATGCCTTTCCCATTCTAAGATTATAAAACAAATGTTGTGAGATTTGTTTTTTCTGGTGCTTTTGTGATTTTACTGTGTCATTTAAACCTCGGATACACTTAACAGTTTTGGGTTTTTTTCCCCAGAGAGCTCAGCAGTTGTCCCATTACCATGTGAATTATCCTCTGTGCTTCCCTCCCCCACTGTCCACCTGAAATGCCACCTTTATTACACGCTAAACTATAGTCTGTACTTGGATCTATTTCTGTATATCCTGATCAATATTCCGTTGATCTTATCTAGACAGGCTTACTTTTGAATTCCAACTGCCTCACTAAATTGCTCTGTGAATCATATTTCATTGAGGAAATACAGATGCAGTTAAATAAACAGCCAGACCTACCTGCAGCCTGTACGTCTTGCTTCACCACCACACCTGTTACAGAGGAGGCAGTGTCCCTGCTCTTGTGCGCCCGGGGTCCCTACTCCTCTGGTCTACGACTAATAGAGTCACTTCGCTCCTAGAGGCACTGTCTCTTCTTCATCATTAGTTTCTGCCTCTTTTAGATGATTGTCATATAAACATCCCTTAAGAATATTTAAGAAGCAACCCACACTAAAGTCTCTGTTCATCTATGGCCCCGTTTCTCCATTAGTCTTCAAAGCTCGTCTCTGCACCTTCTGTTTTCTCCTCAGCTCACCCCATTCAGGCTATGGTTTCCATCTCAGTGATGAAATGACTCTTCCCAAGATGACTGGCAGCCTCCATCTGCCAAACTTAGTCATGGCCTGTGGGAGAGATTCCTGTGCTTTCAGCCCTTGCACAACTTCCATTCATTCTCCACACACCAGCCATGGTAATCTTTTAAAAAAGGGATGAAATTATGTCACAGTCTTGCTTACACCCTCTCCAGAGACTTCCCATTACAGTTACAATGAAACTCAAACACCTTTCCATGGCCTTCAAGGCTTTTTATGATTTAGTCTCTGCTCCCTCTCTGTCTCACCTCCCGTTTGCGCTCCCTGATACTCATGGACGCCGTCCACTCTGGCCTTCATCCGGCCCCTAGAATGGGGCAAACCCTCTGCTGTCTTGGGCCTCTGCACTTGTCTTTCCCTGTGTCTAGAGTGCTTTTCCCTCAGAGCTGGCTGGTTTCTTTATAAAATTCAGATCTCAGCTCAAATGCTGCCTCATCACAGGAGTCACCCTTGGCCATCCTGGTTAAAGTAGCCTGTCCCCACTGTCTTTATCCCAGTGCCTCTGTGTTCTCCATTGCACTTAGCACCAGTGGAAGAGTCTTATTTCTATGTGTGTTGTCTTAGGTTCTAACATCTAAACCAGGGATTGGGACCTGAGTTGTGGAAAGCCAGGTTTTTTAATTGGGGCTGAGGAGTGTCTCCTTGGTGGGATCTTTTCCTGGATAGCCTCTTAAAAGTAAGGGATCTGCACCTCATAGTTACTGAGGAATGTTTGCACTTTGGGAAACTGTCTTTGGGAATCTCTGCATTTTTTCTGAAAGGGAAAGTGTTTTAACCCAGTTGGTGTTACTGCTAACTAATTTTTTGCTTTAAAAGCATACATACTCAACTCTTAAAATATTAATTGATACAGTAACACCCTCAGCTCTTGTGGTATAACTGTTTTAAAAATAAAATGGTAGTTAAACGTAGCCATGAAGTGATTACAGCTGCCAGCAAGTAAAGATCATAAGAGTGAGAAGTAAGTCATTTCCTGCCTTCATTAGGAATGCCAGCAACAGCGTGCTCCATAAACTTTCTTAGATGAGGTGTCTTTTAGACTTCTGCTTATCTGAAGTACACTGTTAATTTTCACTGTTTCTGAGCAGTGGTAATCATTTAGAATCCAATGATTTTGTCCTTGGTGTCCAGGAAAAAGAGGGACTCAATCCTTGTTTATTGAGTTAAATTGAACTACTAGCCTTCAAATGTGGATTCCTTATCATATGCTTCACAGTTCAGGTTGCCTCTACTAAAAAATGTTTATGACATAAGAATAATAGTATCAAAAATTGCCTATATAGTGTGATCTCACTTATGCTCACAAGTTGCAGCTTGTGAAAGGTATACTGTGACTCTCTCAAATATGTCTCAACTTACTCCTATTGTTATATGGATAGCAAGATTTGGGAGTTTTTTTTCCTTAAGACTTTTCTGTATTGAGCAGATAGGCAAATGGGCATGATTTCTGGGGCGGCCTGAGCAACATCAGCTCTTGGGTGCCCTGCATAACCAGTGTGTGGAGCACAAACCCAAAGCTGACTGTCCTCACCTGAACTTGTGATGGAATCTCTAGTAGCAGTAACTGCTTTATACCAGTACCATCCAAAGCACTCCCCAGGTTAAGTCAGACTCCAACATTTATTTGTTCCTTTGACATACATGTACTGATGTTGCCAAGTCAAGTAAATCAGCAGACACAGCACCCATATTCAAGTTGCTTCCAGTATTTTAGGAAGAAGACCTATATTAGGAAGAACACACGAGCAGTTCCAGCTCATGTTAATGGTTATGAAGGAAAGGTATCATGTACCATGTGAGCACAGAGCAGGGGAGAGCCTAGTTTAGGTGGAGAGTTTCAGGTAAGCTGAAACCTCAAAACTGAGAGGAGTTAGCCAAGAATATGCCAAATGGGGGAAACGGCATGATAAAGGCCAGGAGGCAGAGAAGAGCACGTGAAGAATCAAGAGAGACCAGTGTGGGTCTGATGCAGCCAAACTGGGAGAGATGAATGAGCATGAGATGGAGAAGTGGGCAGCGTGAGGGGCGTTCCTGTGAGTTGCAGCTTGTGAAAAGTATGCTGTGACCGAAACAAGGCAGAGATGCTGAGAAGGTACCTCTAACCTCTAAAGAAGGAACCGCCCCCTCCAACCTCTTAAACAAAAAGTCTCCTTGCATGGGCCTCCACACAGACTCCATGTTTGCTCTGACCTTACCGCCTCTTTTTCTAAGGACTGGCACCATGACCAAAGGTAACTGGGTACCATTAGCGTGCATCACCACTCCAGCTAGCTCCTGGGGGAAACTGGTCTTTCCGCACTGAGCACATAAATGTAGTAAACAAATGCGTGTTCTAAGGAAAGTGAGGGCATGCTAGATTCATGTATTTAAGTTAGGTTACCCATTCCATCACAGTATATACAGATGTTCCAGTAACATGATCCTCGGGAGCTGGGGTGCACAGTGTTAGATTCTACTTATACTTCAACTTCCAAGTTGTCAGGATAAAGTTTCTTTTCTCTCTCTCTTTTTTTTTTTTGGTCAGTTGTTTCTTACTGAAGTTAGAAGAAATGTCTCTTTAATTATTGCCAACAGAGATTAATGTGGAAACAAAGTGATCGTTCAGCCTGCTTTGTAATCTGTGTGACCATATTCTCTTACAGCCAATACTGCATTACTGTCAGAGTGTGGTTGCCCTGGGAAGTTTTCGCTTTCGGTCAGCAAACTCATTACTGAAAACTATTATAAGATAAATGCCCTTGAGTCATATACTTGTCTTATTGCCATGGTGTTTTCTGATAAGTGGTTCTTCCCACAAATGAGCATACTTCATTTGCCATCTGTTTAAAATCATAGCAGAATGGGAACTAGTAACTTGAAGCCTAAGGAACTAGTAACTTGAAGCCTATCTCTTTCATACACTGGAATTCTGACAAAGAATGTATTGAGCATTACTTGTTCTTTCATTCTTTTTAGATTCTTCTTAATCCTTTGGTGAAAACTCTGTGACACGAGATGGCTGCGAATAAGCCCAAGGGTCAGAATTCTTTGGCCTTACACAAAGTCATCATGGTGGGCAGCGGTGGTGTGGGCAAGTCTGCACTGACTCTGCAGTTCATGTATGATGAGGTAAGCGCCGATGGCTTCATGGATGTCAGAGTTGGGGCTTGCACAGAGTATTTCTCTAGCTTAGTTTTGGTTGTGTTTTGGATGGATTCCTTGAGTCTTTGAAAGCTACTGATCATTTTTTTCCTGGTTTTAAATTCAGAGTCAACATTTGTATACAGCTTGATTTACAAAGTTGAGAGTTCAAGGTCCTTAAAAACGTTATGCTTTTAAAAAACAGAACAAAAGTGAGAACAGCACCTATCTCTGAGCAATATGTGACTTTTTTTATTTTTAGTGTCTTAATAGTGAGACCCACCTTGAATTAATAGAACTGGTAGATATAGTACCTGATTGAGACTTGAGGTTAACATATATAAGGTATCCTTTAATAACTCAATGAAAAAAATCAGTTATTTATTATATATTTGGCCTGGTACTACACTCACCACTAAGCAGGTGAAGGCTGTGTCCCTGAAATAAAATAACTTAACAGGTTACAGATTTGTGTGCATGTATTTGTATTAGACTTCATGGCCCCAAAGTTAAGGTCTCAGCCTATATACAGCAATGTATTTTTTCCATAGAGCATTGTTATTAACACTAAATGATTTGAGTTGCTAATCAAATTTAAGCATTTTTCCTCAATTCTTCTTCCTCCCAAATAGAAGTAAGGATTTATGGTTACTCTTTCTTACCTGGTTCTCACAACAGTCTTGTGTGGTAGGTAGTGGTATGCTCATTTTACAGATGAGAAAACAGAAGTCACCCAACCTGCCCACGTAGAGTGACCTCTGATGAGTAACTCAGTGTTAAACCTGGTCTTCTGAGAAAACTACCCTGCAGATTTTTATCACCCAGTGTCTCCTTTCATTGCCTGCTCATCAGCATTTCTTCCATACACAGAGAACTTTAAAAAAAAATTTTATTAAGTGTAGTTGGTTTACAATATTGTATTAATTTCTTCTCACACAGAACTCTTAAATCCTGAAGTTGTCCTGCTTATGATAAACAATTTGGAGTGGGAAAATTGAAATGGTATTTTAAATGGAATTGCTAATTTATCTGTTCAGTTCTGTTCTTCATACTAGTCACCTGAATAGCTGCTTTTCTTTAAATTAATCCTTAAATCAGTCCCCTTCTTGACAGTAAGGCAGTCAAAAGTAAGAATGTTCGTATGTCTGATGTTTGATGAATGATTAAGCTTTCATTTAATATTCATAATATTATCAGATACAATAACTGAATATATTCATTAAATATTCATAAATGTTTATAAATATTTGATATTTGTGAAATAATAGCCTGTAATTATGGTAGAATGTTCTATATCTTTTACAGTTACAAATACACTATGTTTGGTTTCTCAGTGAATACTTGTTGAGTGTCTCCATGTACCAGACACTCTTCGAGGCTTTGAGAAGACATTGATGAATAGACTGGTCAAGGTCCCCGCCCCAGGGGTTAAATTCTAGTATGGGGATTTAGACATTGAGCAAATAAGAAAATATCAGGTAAATATTTATAGGAACTAATTAAAAGCCCACAAAAGTATGTGTGTATATCTATGTATACACACACCAACAATGATACTCTGATCAAAACTATCAAAGTGAGATTTAGAGAGTAAAAGAAGTACAATTGTAAAGTTGTTTAATTATGCTATTTTTAAAAGTGGGAAGACAGGGGAGAAATCTCAAAGTTCAAGATTTGACATTCTACAGAGTGGTATAAGTCACTTTTTTGCCTCGGTTCATTTTGGAGAAAGAAAAGATTTAACCATGCTTTCAATTCTTACCTAAATATTGACTTTGAAGTCATTTTCTACAATTCTGACATGAAAATTTATATTTGGAGTCACAAAAAAGGATTTAAGAACATTTGATAAAATACCTATGTAATAGCTTTTGCAGATATAGTGTTTTAAGGAAGAAAAGAGGCACGGTTTTCAAGCTGTCAGTCGCCTAGAGCTGTTCAACCTCCACTTTTTGTAAAAGAAAAGACCTCTGAATTGTCTACGATGGAAATTTAAATGAAATGTAGCTTTTACCACTAGGGAAAATTTAATGAAGGCTACATGTGGCCTCTCAGTACTATTTTGGCACCTTCGTGTGAATCAGTATTTCAAAATAAGGAACTTTGAAAAGTAAAGGTGATTTAGAAATGGAAGTGCTTTCCCTCATTCCCAGTTTGTGGAGGACTACGAGCCGACCAAGGCCGACAGCTATCGGAAGAAGGTGGTGCTGGACGGGGAGGAAGTGCAGATTGACATCCTGGATACAGCGGGGCAGGAGGACTACGCGGCCATTAGGGACAACTACTTCCGCAGCGGCGAGGGCTTCCTCTGTGTCTTCTCCATTACAGAAATGGAGTCCTTTGCAGCCACAGCCGACTTCAGGTACGTCAGGCAGTCGTGTCACGACACTGCGAACAGCTGCCTCCTCAGCAGCGAGTGGGCGGCTGGAGGCTCCTAACCTGGCTGTCCTTGCCTCCCGTTGTGCTGGGTCCCTCTCTGACCTCAGCGTGGCTGTCCTCCGTGCGCGTGCGCTCACACGTGCTGGGCGCCGCCCCTCACCTCCCGGCCCTCACCTCCCGGCCCCTCACCTCCCGGCCCCTCACCTCCCGGCCCTCACCTCCTGGCCCCTCACCTCCCGGCCGGCTCTGCCCGCGCCAGCTGCAGTGCAGCCGGAGTGTGACAGCCCGCACACGCAGAGTCTCCTCGTGTGCTGCTGAAGTATTTCCCTTTGGAGCACAGTACCGCTGCTGCTGTGAAAGCAGACGCCTGGATCGCATCACAGCTCTCTGACCCAGATTTTGAGTCTTTCTGTGTTAGTCACGCGTGTCTCAGCGCCTGTGTCATGCCCAGCAGGCACGTCGCCATCCTCCTCAAACACACACTGAACTTTTAGTGGAAATAATACCACCATAGACTGACACGTAGATTGTTATACAATCTTTTTAGTATCTTATTTACTGTTTGTTTAATTGAACTCCGTCCTCCACTTGATTTGGGAGAGGGGATTGGGGAAGTGATAAAGGGGAGAGGTATTCTCTCTATACATAAGAAGAATACAGGATAAATAAGTTCTTGAGTAGTATCATAATATAGCATGCATAAAAACAAATATTCTTTATGTATTTTTATTTACGTACACATGATCTGCTTTGGTGTTGTGGGGCAGGTGCAAAGGAAGCATATAATATAACCTCTGTTTTCAACATTCACACAGCTGAGTTGAAGAAGGCGTGAAACCCAGTGTCAGTTAGTGATAAAGAAGATATGGACAGTGGCTGTTACACGGGATCCAGGAGAGGAGAGGAGTTGGAGGCCTTCAAGAGATAGATAATCTTGAAGGATAACAAAGATTTCCAAAGATGAGGAAAGACGTCATCCCTAATGTTTGGGCAGGAAACTGAACCAGGGCTTACACAAAGCATTCCTCTTCATGTATAGATGAAAGTCTCAAGAACTCAAGAGATTCTAAGAGAAGCTTCTTTGCAGAAAAGCATGTCACTGAGAAACTTAGGAAATGTAAATTTATTTGTAAAATTAAGTTTGCTGGTTTCTGTAAGGAAGAAGTTTTTGTACATGATAAAGTGAAAAGAGTGGCAGATTCTGGTAACTTATAACCCTGAGAGACATATTGAAAGTTACCAGTCAGTGCTTATTCGTTCTTTCAAAAAATATTTGTGTGCTTATTCTGTAGCAGATTCTGTTCTAAGTAATGGAATACATTTTGTCACCATAGTCACCAAAGCCAGAGTGGTATCTCAAGGGAATGAGGTATTTTTTTTCGCCAAGAGAAAAAGTCTTGGGCTCTTGCTATTACAGAAAATAAGTGAATCATTCATTACCCTCTTGTCCTGTCTCCAATGTGTTGCCCTTCCCATAAATAAAAAATATTCCTGGTAACTGACCAGGAGTAGGAAAGCCATTTTTGAGGTGGTCTGAATGGTAATAGAAGAGTAGGCACTCCACATGATCTGACCTGCAAAGTATAGCACAATGTCAGCTCCTCCTTTTAATTTTTTTTATTGTAGTTGATTTTTAAAAATCTTTTATTGAAGTATAGTTGATTTACAATGACATGTTAATTTCAGCTATACAGCAGAGTGATTCAGTTTTACATACCTAATTATTTTTTTATATTCTTTTCCATTATGCTTTATCATAGGATATTGAGTGTAGTTCTCTGTGCTATACAGTGGGACCTTGTTGTGTATCCATTTTATCTGTAATAGTTTGCATCTGCTAATCCCAAACTCCCCCAACCCATTCCTCCTTGGCAACCCCAAACCTCTCTTCTGTGTCTAAGTCTTTTTCCATAGATAGGTTCATTTATATCATATTTTAGATTCCATACATAAGTGATATCATATGGTATTTCTCTTTCTGACTTGGTTCACGTGGTATGATCATCTCTAGTTGCATCCACATTGCTGCAAATGGCATTATTTCATTCTTTCTTATTGCTGAGTAGTATTCCATTTTATAGGCACCATATCTTCTTTATGCATTCACTCATCTGTTGATGGACATTTAGGCCATTTCTGTGTCTTTGCTATTGCGACTAGTGCTGCTAAGAACACAGGGGCACATGTATCTTTTTGAATTAGAGTTTTTTCTGGATATATGTCTAGGAGTGGGGTTGCTGGATCATGTGGTAATTCTTAGTTTTCTGAGGACCTTCCATGCTATTTTCCACAATGACTGCACAAATTTACACTCCCACCAACAGTGTAGGAGGACTCCTGTTTCTCCATGCCCTCTCCAGAATTTGCTATTTGTAGACTTTTTAATAATGGCCATTCTGACTGGTGTGAGGTGGTACATCAATATAGTTTTGATTTGCATTTCTCTAATAATTGTCAGCTCCTAAATGTAGCCTTCCTGGGCCTCCTATCACGAAGGCAGAATCCACTGTTTCCTCATCGGTGATTGTGATATACTTTGCACAGCCCCAGTAGCACACTCACCACACTCTGACATTGAGATTGATTTCTGTATGCTGTGTGTTTTTCCTGACAAGGTAAAAACACTTGGAAACAGAACCCGTTTCTTACCCATTTCAGTATCCCTGATACCCACATTTGGCACAGTTGCCCACATATAACTTAGAGCGCTTATAAGTGTTCAATAGAAATGTTAGAAAACCCTGTTGTCTTTTGTGGTTCTCACTTTCCTCAAAATAAAAATGAAGCTTGACCAGTTTGTAAAGGTGCTTTTCTATTCTAAAATTTTATAATTGTCTCTCAAACTCCAAAGGGAGCGTCACTTTAAGCAAAAATGCCGGTAATGATTACAGTCATCAGAAAGGTCACTGATCACCCTAACAAATTTAATGATAATGGAAAAGTTTAAAATATTGTGAGAATTACCAGAATGTGACACAGAGACACAGAGTGAGCAAATGCTGTTGGAAAAGTGGCCCTGATGGACTAGCTTGACACAGGGGGATGCAAACCTTCAGTCTGTTAAAAAAGAGAAAGCAGTATCTGCAAAGCACAGTAAAGCTAATTGCAGTATAACAAGGTATACTTGTATCAGTGGTACTTCATAAATTGTGATAAATTGTGTTGACAACAGGGGAAACCAGGTGTGGGGACATACAGGAATTCTGTCCTATCTTCACACCTTCTCTGTAAATCTGAAATCATTCTAATGTAAAGAGTTTGTTTTGAAAAAGCCTTTAGAGGGACTTTCCTGACAGTCCAGTAGTGAAGACTCTGCACTTCCACTGCAGGGGGTGCGGGTTCAATCCCTGGTTGGGGAACCAAGATCCCACATGCCATGCAGCCTGGCCAAAATGTAAAAAAGGTTTTAAAAACAAGGCATTTAGAATGAAGTTGCATTTGATACTTTCACTTCATGCCTCTACTGCCATATTTGTACTCTGCTTTGGTGTATTTTTTCCTCCATCAATGAAGTGAATGTGAAGCTCAAATGATTGAGGGTAGATAAAGGAAGGCGTGCTGCTGGTTTCCGCCTGTGTAATAAATGAGCTCATTGTTCAGAAGCATAAATAAATGCCTGCATGTGTTGTTTGTTATTCTAACACATAGAGATATTTCTTGCTCATTTCCTCTTATCCAGGGAGCAGATTTTAAGAGTAAAAGAAGATGAGAACGTTCCATTTCTGCTTGTTGGAAACAAATCAGATTTGGAAGATAAAAGGCAGGTTTCCGTAGAAGAGGCGAAAACCAGAGCCGACCAGTGGAACGTTAACTATGTGGAAACATCTGCCAAGACGCGGGCCAATGTTGACAAGGTAAAAGGGGACCCTCCTCACCACGACATCATGTTGAAATAGGTTGATTTGCTTAACTCGGCTCCGTCTGTGTCTAGAGTCTGCTGAGACTTTCAGAGAGAGATTTAATACGCGTTGGTGTTTATCAGCCCTGAATGCTCAAGTACACTGTGTTAGGACTTTCTTGACTTCACCTTCTCCTTAGGTTCCCAAGGGGCGTAAAAACATGAGACAACCACAGCAAGATGTACTTTTTTTAAAGCACTGGCCAGATTCCTAACCTGAATCCCCCCCCCCTTTTTTTTCCCTTTTCTTTGCCTGATTGGCTGGAGAATCTCTGAGCTGACACCTGCCCATCCCCACTTAAGTTCTCCCAAGTGAAGGTGGCTCCCAAGATGAAGGAGCCCCGAGGGAGAGGGTTTTGAAATCTGTTACCACAGCTGCACTCCCCACTCTCCACCTCTGATCTCCACCCGCTCGCCCCCCTCTCCACCCAGGGGAAGAAAAACTCCTCTGCCGTCTTCCCTCATCTTTGCACTTTGTGCAGATTGGCCCTTCCCGGAGACCGGATAAGGAACACCTTGGAGCCTTCCCGGGTGCTGTTCATCCACCCCCCGACACCACTGTCCACGTTCAGGAAGCCTGCTGGTGGGGCTGGAGCAGCTCTGGGTGGGAGCCCTTCCAGGGAGGCCTTTTCAGTCCCCAAGTATCCCGGCCCTACAAGTGCCTCAGGAAAACTAAGATGCAGAAGGATTGCCTACAAAGCCTGATAAACTTAGGTTCCTGGGTCTTCTCCAGAGACTTGGAATAGTTTGCTCTGGGGTGAGTCCTAAGCATTTGCAGATCCAGCTAGCTCCTGGGTGTGCAGGTGGGGTGGCGGACTGCACTTGAAGTAACGCTGCCCTAGGTGTCCGCAGGTGTTGGTGAGCTGCTCTGCTGTGTCTGTAGATCCATAACCCTGGTCCGGAAATCCTGATGTTAAAAGCTTAGAGGTTCTTTCTGCCTGTTTACTGTAGGTGTGAAGACATTGTCATTTTAAGCTCACTTTTTTTTTCCAGTCACACGGTCAGATTCCTCTAAGTCCAGGATACCATTACAACATGCTACAAGAGTTCTACTCAGTAAACCAGTTTCTGCTAGTTACAGCAAATATTTTTTAATATACTAATGAAATATAGTTTAAGATTCAGTGTGTATATGGTTTTGAAAGGCACCACAGAACAGTATCTTAGCGTATATGTACTTTGTTTCATCCTGTTTAATATCTCGAGCAGATGGTAGAACACACGCTAAAACCTGTTTGAACTAAGGGGAGTGGGGAGGAGAGGTGAACAGTAGCTGTCCAGCTCTGAGGCTTGCAGCGGTCCTGTGGTGTCACCTGCTGGCATCAGAGGCCCCGGGAAAGTACAGTCATGTACGTTGTCACAGTTATCACAGGAGGTTGAGAAAAAGCCCAGCAACCCAATGGGAAAACAGTCAAAAAATATAGACACCCTTGTTATAGAAAGAAGTACAAATTGCTTTTAAAGTTTAAAAGCGGCTTAGTCTAAGTTATAATAGGAAGCACAATTTAAAAACAGGACTTTTTTTTACCTGTTATATTGGGGAATAAAGCAACAAGACTGATGATAATACTGTTGACAGGAGTATGGGGAGGAGGGGAAAGGAATGCTCATATGTTCGTGGAAGGGCAATTTGGTAATTATCTATCAAAATTATGGCCCCACTAATTCAAGTTCTAAAATTTGTATAAAGTCATACATCCATGCATAAGTATGTTCAGCAGTAAACACTGAAGCATTATCTGTAGAAACAAAAGATTGGAAATATCCAAGTGCCCAATAACAGACTATTTTAAAGGCTGGTGCATCCATATATGGAGAAGGCAATGGCACCCCACTCCAGTACTCTTGCCTGGAAAATCCCATGGACAGAGGAGCCTGGTAGGCTGTGGTCCGTGGGGTTGCTAAGAGTCGGACATGACTGAGCAACTTCACTTTCTCTTTTCACTTTCATGCACTGGAGAAGGAAATGGCAACCCACTCCAATGTTCTTGCCTGGAGAATCCCGCCTGGTGGGCTGCCATCTCTGGGGTCGCACAGAGTCAGACACAATGAAGCAACTTAGCAGCAGCAGCAGCAACATCTATATAATGGAATATTGTACAGCCATTAAAAAGAAATGAAGATAACTTCCCTGGTGGTACAGTTGATAAGAATCTGCCTCCCAGTGTAGGGGACCCAGGTTCATCCCTAGCCATGAAGATCTCACTATGCCGCGGAGCAAGTAAGCCTGTGCGCTACAATTACTGAGCCTGTGTGCTGCAACTACTGAAGCCCACACACCTGGAGCCTGTGCTCTGCAACAAGAGAAGCCACTGCAATGAGAAAAGCCTGTGCACCACAACTAAGAGCGGCCCCCACTCACCACAACTAGAGAAAACTTGCAGCAGCAGTGAAGACCTAGCAGGCCAAAAATAAGTATTTTTTTAAAATGAAGGTAGAGCTTAATGTGCTGATCCTCAGCATTAGGAAATGAAATACAGAACAGTAGCAGTAACTGTAGTTTGCTGCCATCTGTGTTTGAAACACATCATGCACACAGGCACACACGTGTGTGTGTCTCAGGGGGATATGAAGAATCTAGTACCGGTGGCTGCCACCAGGTAGATGCATTTTTCACAAGCACCTCGGTGGCTGCAGAAAAGTAACGTGCAGCAGCTCTTCAGCCCCAGTGTGAGCCCACGTCCTTCAGGCCCAGCTCATTGTGCCCTCAGGCACTTCCCCGGAGAATCCCATGGACAGAGGAGCCTGGTGGGCTAGAGTCCAGAGAGCTGCGGAGTCGGACACAACTGAAGCAACGTAGCACGCATGCATGCACAGACACTTGTTAGTGACATTGAACTTTTGAATTATTACACTAATAGCTTTTAAATTATTATGCTAATATCTCCCATTATTTGCCGATTTCTAGACAGACAAAAATTGATAAATCCTAAAATACTGTGCAACAAGCAATTATTTTCTAGTGCCTGGTATCAGAATACTAAAGGAAGCAGTCATTTTCCACAGCTGTTTTTAAAAATGGGGCTGAAGAAAGGTTAATAGATGAAAATTTGATTAGATTACTTTAAAATAGTAATTGATAAAATACATTTGCTAATTACTAATTACTCAAATGTAATCCACTGGGTTACATCTTCGGAGCTATCACTTGCAGTGCTTTTTTATTTTTATCTTGAAAATTCAGATGGAAGATTAGGTTATATTATGTAAGCAGATTTTACCCCAAAGTGTAGTTCAGAAAATCTTCCTGTTTTCCCATTTTTTTAATGTACTTGGAAGAAGCAGATTTTAGTTATTTACTTTCCTATCTTTGTATTCCCCAAATAAGATCTCTTTAATATTCATATATTACTCCCAGTGTTTACTGCTGTAATTCAGAGATGTACCAGGCACATATTATCTACTTGCTTTATTCTGTTTTCTTCTTTGTAGGTATTTTTTGATTTAATGAGGGAAATTCGGGCCAGAAAGATGGAAGACAGCAAAGAAAAGAATGGAAAAAAGAAGAGGAAAAGTTTAGCCAAGAGAATCAGAGAAAGATGCTGCATTTTATAATCAGAGCCCAAACTCCTTTCTTATCTTGACCATACTAATAAATATAATTTATAAGCTTTGCCATTGAAGGCTCAATTGACTGAAATTACTTTAACATTTTGGAAATTGTTATGTATCTCTAAAAGCATGAATTGGAACTGCACTGAAAGTCAAATTCACTTAAAAAGAAATTAATGTGGCTTCACCAAGAAGCAAAGTTCAACTTATTTCATAATTGCCTACATTTATCACGGTCCTGAATGTAGCGTGGGCGCTTGTGTTTTGCCGGCAGTCTTTCTTGAACTGTTCGAGAGGTGAGAATGGGGGTGGACAATGGGAGGAAAGGCTACTTCCTCTGGTTTATTATAAAGCTTAAATTTTATAACCATTTTAAAATGTCTTGGTCTTCTACTGCCTTGAAAAAAAAATGACAATTGTGAACATGATAGTTAAGCTGTACCACTTTTTTTTAACCATTGTTATGCAAAATATAGAAGAAAAAGTGACTGGCATGATTGTTGCATATAGTTCAATTGAGAGTAATTCATCTGTGAACCTGCATTAATTACCTGGTGATTAACTTAGAAAAGTGGTGTAAACTTGTACATGGAAATTTTTTAATATGCCTTAATTTAGAAACTGAAAGATACCTTGTTACATCATTCTGGGTTGTATCCTCATAGTGCCGTGGGCCTACTGCCCACGTGTCCTTGTGAGAGAATACGTGTCGGGATGGAGAACAACTTTTGTATAGAAGATGCTCAAGAAATAACTGCTAGAGTCTGTCCAAATGTAAAATGTGTGCCATACTCTGGTTCTTGAAAATGAAGTTCCAGAGCCCCTTGATTGCTTTTAATTAACTGTAAGGTAGTTTAAAAATGAAGGACCAGCATATACTTGTAAGATAATTTTAGACTATGAGGATTCAGTATGTCTCAGTGAACCCTTATTCTTGAAGATGCTGATCCCTGGAAATCCTTTTATGCAAGTGGTGAGCATGTGTTAAGATTTTGATCTCTTTGGAGCAGGGCATAGGAAAAGTGTCCACGGTGCTAATGCGTTTTGCACTAGACCACTTCGGGAAAGTAGTTGTGCTTGCCATCTGTTAACTTCTAAATTTGTATTCCTGAGGTTGCAGTTTGCCTGTGCGGGAGTTACTAGGAGTGTTTGTAGTCTGTGTTCATAATGAAGAACACTGTAGTTACATTTTCCTAAAGTTAACATCGAACAGCCAAACCCGAGGATAGTGCAGAAAACATGTTTGCCACCAAACAGTAGGCTGTGTCCCCATTGTACGGCATGCCCACTGAAGGGACATAATTTCAATGGGAAATATACCACCATCAGATTTTTCTTTTCTTTGGAATGGGACTAGGGCAGTTGTTTCAATAAAGTTTTGCTTTCTTTATGCTCAGTCTTAATTTCAGCAAGTCAAAGATGTGTTCAGGCATTCCAGGTAACAGATGTGTACGTAAAGCTAACACAAATAGGCTACTTAGGAACTGAACTCTTTAGATACTACATCCAGCTTGTCATGTTAAATATGTGTCCTTAAAGGGTTTGAGATGTACATCTTTCATTTCGTATTTTCCATAGGCTATGCCGTGTGCAGAATTAAAGCTCCCCATGTAAGCGCAACTCTGCGGGCCCAGCAATCTCCACGTGTACTTGTTGCTGTCTCATTTAACCAGGGGTCCTAACCACTAATGTTGTGACTGTGCTTTGAGACCTTTCCTCTCCTGGGTACTGAGGTGCTATGAAGCCAAATGACAAAGACGCATCACATGTCTTAGGCTGATGCCACTACCCGACTGGTTTATTTGCAATTTGAGCCATTTAAAGACCAATAAACTTTCTTTTTTTAAATGTTTGTGGTGTTACTTGATGTTTACAATAGAACATGTAAAATTCAACCTGGGCATCCTTACCAGAGACTTGAAAACACCTCAGTGTTTTGAGCTATCAGTTTAGGGACTTCTGTGTGAGAAGAATCCTGTGCCAGATGTCCTCGGTCACAGGACCATCATTACTCAGGTTTAAGCAAGGCTCAGAAATGGCAGAGCCCCACATGCACAGTTGCATGGAAGGCACTCTTCTACTGTCACCAGAGCCCTCCATTGTACTTTACTTTTCAAATACTACTCGACTCCTGAGTGGGTAGGTGGCCGCTTTATATTCATTTTGTAAATCAGACTGATCCCCAGAGACAATTCCATTTCCAGATTGTGGTAGGAGGAATCCCCTCTCCCCCTACCATCTCATCATACTTCAGGCTTTCACTCACATTTGATGTCTGTCTGGAAAACAGTCGTCACACAGCCCCTGGGCTAGAAATGATCTGGCCCAGCATTGAACACAACCCTTCAAAATCCAATTCACTTTAATATCTTAATTCATAAGCAGTGAGCACATTTATAATTGGCATAATTTTAATCTCACTGTATGGACCCATTCTTAACACCAATCAGGGGCATGATGTTGAACATTATATACTAAAAGGTTAGATTGAGTTGTCTCAAAGTGAATCAGAATGTCATTTTCAAAATTTTGTAATGAAACATAAAATTTAAAACTATCAAAGCATTTACCAGAACTTAATAGTTTTCAAACTAATCCTTTTTTTAAAAAAAAATCCATCATTAAAAGTCCCCTTTAGCAAATTGCTTTGAAAGTGAAGAGTGGACAGACCAATGGAGTCCTTCATTCATGCCCTTAGTTTGTGATAGGTTTTTATGAACCACCTACTGTGGGCACTGCTGCGAATAAAATAGGTGAAAGGACAGGCATGATGAGTTCAGGACAAATATACAGATTCACACAGAGGAAAGGACCTATGTGTTACAAGGAAAGCAAGTTTTAAAAAGATGAGAGATTAGGTCTCCTTATCCTGGGCCAGACACCCTATTTCTTACAACTGTAAACTCATATAATAATAGCAAACAGTGCATTCTACATGCAAGATACTGTGTATTTTTTTAATTTAATATTAACTTTTTGAGGTACTTGCTATCCTAGCCCTTATCTTCCAGATGGAAAAACTAAGTTGAATAACTTGCCCAGAGCCAAAAAATGGCAAAATTATTAACAGATTGGAAACAAAGTAGTCTGGTCCCAAGTCCATGCTCTGAATCCCTGCACAATGAAGGAGTAGAAGATAAGAGTTAATGATGCAGGGGCCTGTACTATGGGGGGAACATCCAGGATTTTCCCCAGGCTGATTTCCTTCAGAGAGCTTGCAGAGGTTGCTGTGAACCAAGAGGCCTCTTGGGCATACAGCCTGGTTGCTAAGAGAAAAATCAAGTGTGGAGGGAAAACCTTGTGCAGAGCTCAGCTGTGGAGTCAGCCTTACAGTGCTTTTTCCATAACATCAGTCAAGAGGCAGCATTCTTTGGCAGGCAAGAAGCCTGTATCCTACGTTTCTTTAACTGCAAAAAATTTCCTAGTCATTTGCCCCAGCAGCACTGCCTGCAGCTGTTGTGGACAGCTGCCTGGAGACGCATGAAGGTAGATAGGGAGGGACGTTCAGCCATCTGTATTCTCAGTCCTCACAGAAGCACCATTTCTGGGGAGAGTGAGGGGCCCAGAGAGCATTTAACATCTGTTTAAGAAAGGCCATGATGGTCCAGTGGTTAGGACTCGGTGCTTTCACTGCCAGGGCCAAGTTCAATCCTCAGGGAAATAAGATCCTCCAAGCCATGCAGTACAGCCAAGGGAAAAAAAAAAAAAAAAAGGCCGTGAGAACTGTGATAACTTACACAGCTAATCAGATAGAAGAACAAGATCACTTTTATCAAAAGCCCTAAGGAAAGAAAACAGCCAAAGTGTTCAGGTGCTTGCAAGCTCCTAGCAGCTAGAAAGTGCTCCTAAGGACAAAGTCAAACAACCAAAAAGTAAAAGTCAAGCCTTGTTGAATTAGAAGGGAAAGAAGCAGGTATGAGAGCTAACTTCTGGGCCTTGGCCCAAGGAATCGCATGCTATCGCCCTGAGCATTGCACCATTACATGCCAACTCTGTTGTTTATGACCAACCTAGACAGCATATTAAAAAGCAGAGGCATTACTTTGCCAAAAAAGGTCCATCTAGTCAAAGCTATTGGCAGTTTGATCTCTGGTTCCTCTGCCCTTTCTGAAACCAGCTTGAACATCTGGAAGTTGACAGTTCATGTATTACTGAAGCCTAGCTTGGAGAATTTTGAGCATCACTTTTCTAGCGTGTGAGATGAGTGCAGCTGTGTGATAGTTTGAGCATTCTTTGGCATTGCCTTTCTTTGGGATTGGAATGAAAACTGACCTTTTCCAGTCCTGTGGCCACTTCTGAGTTTTCCAAATTTGCTGGCATATTGAGTGCAGCACTTTCACAGCATCATCTTTCAGGATTTGAAATAGCTCAACTAGAATTCCATCACCTCCACTAGCTTTGTTCATAGTGATGCTTTCTAAGGCCCACTTGACTTCACATTCCAGGATGTCTGGCTCCAGGTGAGTGATCACACCGTCATGATTATCTGGGTTGTGAAGATCTTTTTTGTACAGTTCTGTGTATTCTTGCCACCTCTTAATATCTTCTGCTTCTGTTAGGTCCATACCATTTCTGTCCTTTATTGAGCCCATCTTTGCATGAAATGTTCCCTTGTTATCTCTAATTTTCTTGAAGAGATTTCTAGTCTCTCCCATTCTGTTGTTTTACTCTATTTCTTTGCATTGATCACTGAGGAAGGCTTCTTTATCTCTCCTTGCTATTCTTTGGAACTCTACATTCAGATGGGAATATCTTTCCTTTGCTTTTTGCTTCTCTTCTTTTCACGGCTATTTGTAAGCCCTCCTCAGACAGCCATTTTGCTTTTTTACATTTCTTTTCCATGGGGATGGTCTTAATCCCTGTCTCCTATACAGTGTCACGAACCTCCATCCATAATTCATCAGGCACTCTATCAGATGTAGTCCCTTAAATCTATTTCTCACTTCCACTGTATAATCATAAGGGATTTGATTTCAGTCATACCTGAATGATCTAGTGATTTC